CCGGCCCGGCCCCTGCCCGCCCCGCGGGAGCACGGGGCACGCCGGCTGCCCGGGCGCTTTGGGACGGGCAGAGAGGAGCGGGGCTGCTCTCCTCCGCCGCCGCTGACACATGCTTAAACTCCAGATAGATCTGCGCCCGTCTTCTCCCCCTCCTTCCCGCTCCCAATATTTTATCTTCGCCCGAAAAAGTAAACGACGGAGAGTCGAAATAAAACTAATACTTACTGCGTAACTAACATTCATCTAAATTAACGTTACAAACATAAACACACCTCTCCGGTGCATTTTCTGCAACGTGGCTTTCCCCAGCCCGGCTGGATGTGAGATGACTTTGCTGCTCTCGCCAAATATTTCGGTAACGGGAATAACGATAATGACAGCCTCAAATGGCCTGAGAAAAAGGCAGATCTCGAGCTGGCTGTTAGAAACCCCGGATTTCACCCCAGCCGCTCCTGGGGTTTAAAGGAAAACTTGAAGAGGACAAGCCGCGATCCGTGTGTGCTCCTCACACGGAGGGAGAGGGACAGCCAGGGTGTCCCCACGCCGTCGCTGCCGCCGCTCTTTGTGTGCTGGAAAGGCGGCAGCTTCGCTGGAACAAAGGGTCCCCAAACTAGACCACCCGTCTCTCCCCGGTTTGTGGAGGCTCCGGAGGTACCGCTTTCCCTCCCCGCCCTCCGCTGCTTTTCCCACCCTCCCGACTGCGCTGGGAGCGAGCCAGTACTGGTTTAGGATTATGTATTCATCTGGAATTATTAGGTTACAAGAGCGAATAAATAGCGTTTATCTGATCGGATTCAAAGCTGCTTATTTGAAACAACCGGGAGCCCTGCCCCTTTCGGGGAGCGGAGCGGGAGCCGGCAGCTGCGCGAACCAGTGGGAGTTTTCCACCGCAGAGCCGGTGCTGCCTAAACCCGGCTCGGAGTCCCGCTTGCCCGGGGGCACATTTCTCTGCCATTCGGCCGTGTCCCCAGCGTGCCATGCCACCGAGCCGGCCGGAGCGGCCGTGCAACGCGTTCAACCTCCGCTGCTCCTGCACCCCGGCAGGGATGCGGGGGCCCCAGGGCGGGGGCACCGGCCAGGAGCAGGACGGGGAGGCGGGTGGGTGGGTTTGTCTGCTCCGGAGGGACAGCGGGCTGGAGGCAGCGCTCCCCCCATCTCCACTCCATCGCGACAGGGGTGTATCAAACAGCGCGAGTGTCTCCCTTTGAAACCAAGCCTAAGCCCCACCCCCCAAGCAGAGAGATGGCTTAAAAGCGGAGTTGTGCCCAGGCCCGGCTCTGCCCGCACCCTAAAGCCGGGGGTGGGCCCAGGCAGGGGCAGGCGCTGGTATGGTTTCCTCGACGATCGCTGTAGCCGTTGGAGGAAGGTGGGAGGCACCTCGGCAGGCCCGGGAGACCCGTCTGCGCCGTGTCGGATGCCCGGGCATCTGATAGATGCTGGGCGCAGGGGAAGCCAAAGGCGAGAAGGAGGAGGAGAAGGGGGAAGGGGACCTGCGCGTTCTTGCCCGAGGGATGCACATCCCCTTCAGTCTGAAGCCCTCAGTCCTGCCCGGGACCCCCTTGAAGAAGGGAAAATGGCCCCAGGGCTCTCCTGAGCTGCCGTACTCTCCTCCCGCCACACAGGCGCACCTCAGCCCCCGGCCACAAGCGTGTGAAAGGTGGAAAAACACCCCCAAACCTACAAGCGACCCATGGGCCAAATCCTGCTCCGCCCTTGCAGCGCTGCCGAGACCGCCCAGCGCCCATAGGCAGCTCCCGCTGGATTTCACTTTTCAGCTGATCGATGGAGCAGCTGTTGTCGTCACCTGAGGCTGTGACATTTTTCTGGCTGTGTGTATGTTTTTTGCAGACTCCCCCCAGGTCCCCCCGAGAAGGGTGCGCGGCCGGCCGGGCTGCCTCTCGCTCCCGGCCATGCGCTCCTCTCTGGGGAAGG